CTTTAATTACTTCAGTAAGTAGCATTTTGTTTTTATAACTATGTTAGTTGTGACTTTCAGTCCATGACGTCCTTTTCTCTTATTATCGTTTCACAAATACTCTCTCCCTCATCATCATTTTCACATGAGCTATCAAGTAAATCAATGTGCATGATACTTTACTAAATATAAATACCTTTCTACCAGTTGCTACTGAAACAATGAATGATAAACAGATAGCCCAAGTACCTAGTCCCTTACCCACACATAGCACAATAAAGCCGACTAATTCCCTAAAATCCTTTGCTAGTACATTTGTCATATCATCAAGCCAAGCCAACTACTTTTATATTATTAATTTCCTTATTTAGCTATACCACTTACTCCAACCACTCAACCAAGTGATTCATTTCTAGTTGGTGGAATTACAGTGGCAGTGGTCTGTATAATTCTTGTATGTACATGTCTACTAATAGTAGCATGTATCATTATTGTTTGTGTGAAGAAAAGATCAAAATCATCATTTAAAAGTAATCCTGAGGAACTAAGCACATCTTTAAAGATCTTAACAACACTACAAGATGATCCAGCATATACGAGTACTAGTAACACAGTACCAGTGGATGATGATACACTGTATACATATGCTAGCAACAATAGCTCTAATGTATACAGCGCAATAAGAAATCCAAATCAAATTTAACAATGATGATTACATATAGCAAGGACTTTTTAGTAAAAAAACTGTAATACCATGCTGTCTGTTTTAAGGACCTTTTTGATAATTATTTTGTATGTGTGTGTGTGTGCATAGTACATTACTTTAGTAAATACTATTTTAGAATTAAATTATTATATTCTTTATTGTTTTTGTGCTGTCTAATGATGAGTGGCATGTGTCTATGATATATGCAGTTATCATGCACATTTTAAAGCTATTGGACAATTTTTCTTTCATTGTACACTTCAAGTGTTGTCATTACATTTTGATGGAGAATGAGCAACAACTGACTATACATCAACTGTTGCTCTAGCTGTATTAACCGTATAGAGGCAACTACTGTAGACTGGGACTCATGATCATCAACTGATTCAGCAAGAGACTGAACCACCTATAGTAAGAATCATGAGATAATCTGTATTATTGACTTCTTTACTGTACTTACTATAGGTTCACTTTGTAAACTGTTGTTCCTTTTAGCAGGCTTGTTCACAAGTGAAGCTTGTCTTTTAGACATTGCAATTGACAAGAAAAGAACACTGAAATAGCACTGAATAATGGGCTGCTCTGTGTCTCAGTTCAGCTATATTATGCTTCCTAGTGTTGCTGTGGTGGCCCAC